TCTTTCTCTTTCTCGCTCACTGATGCATATAATCTGAATTTCTTTTCAGACATGCACAGCGTTATGTGATGCTACCTGTCTCGGCGAAGCGATATTTACTAGCCACACAAGAGAGAAAGCAAAAACGTGCATAGCGTGCATGCGTCAAGCAATAGCAGGGCGCTTGGATTTGCCAATGGCCATAGAGCGCCCGGTATTGCCATATTGACGACTGTCATTTGTTATTCTAAAGGCCATTCCGCGCTCCTCGAATTTAACGTGATCGCACCTAAGGGATATGTGCAATTTCAAACTGATTTCCGTGTATTATATTACGCCCGCAATGTAGCATTTAATGTATAACACGATATACTTATTGTATGAGCCTCATAACGTAGCATTTAAATCACTTAGCACTATACCCTAATTATAAACGCATCTGCCTACCCCTGGCTCCACGTCACGCCGCACCTCACAAACTCTGTACATTCCTCGTACTTACAGTGCAATCTCATGCTCGCTTCGCTCCTCATACACCCTCAGCGATCGATGGCTGAGATTCGACATTGCAGAAATTGCGAATTGTTTGTCAACTGCCTTGCAACATTGGGGGGGTGAGAGGTGGGAGACGGGTGAATTCCGCTATATATTTCCGAGGACAAAATGAGACCCTCCAATTAAACGTTTTATGTACTCGTAGACCGCAGAGAGGTTTTTGTTATTATTTCAAAATCGACGCTACGGCGAATGAAAGGTGGAAGATGGCGGGAAACAACGGAGGCATGGGGGAGGGAGGGGGGGGGGTGAGGCGGGAGGATGGAGCACATGTGGTGGTGTGTGTGTGTGGGGGGGGGGGGGTTAGTCAGGTCGAAGACAGGGTCTTGGGGGTGGAGGGAGGGGGGGGGGAAGGAGATGAGTCTGGAGAAAGAGGGAGGAGAGGAGGGGGTGCTTAGAAGCCGGGAGATGAAGAGAGATCTTGAGGGAAAAAAAATGTTGGAAAGTAATGGGCGCTTTACTTGAGCAAAGTGAAGGTTACGGAAAAAAAACTTGGACATTTTTAAAGTCTAATTTGCAGAAGTCCGTGTTACATTTTACATTTAAGAAGCACTTTGAGAGAAGAGGCGAATGCATGGAATTTTGTCGCAGAATTTATCCATCCGAAAAGGACATCTTCCAGTCCAAGTAATTAATCAGTAATGTTTAAATTTAGAATTTACGTTTGGCGCGGGTTTTAGGAATGTTAATTTTCATGCGCTCATGTTGAGAGAGAGAGAGAGAGAGAGTGAGAGAGAGAGAGAGAGAGAGAGAGAGAGAGAGAGAGAGAGAGAGAGAGAGAGAGAGAGAGAGAGAGAGAGAGAGAGAGAGAGAGAGAGAGAGAGATTCGAGTTTGAGAAAGAGAGTACGCAAAGAAATGAGAACAAAAGGGAAGAAGAAGAGGAAGAAATATAGAAATAAAGGGAGAGAAAGAAAGAGAGAGAGAGATAATGAAATCACAATGCGGTCTTCCATGCAACCTTCATTATGTAAACACATGCACACGAACCACTTGACAGCTGCATTACCGTCATGCACGGGTGGGAGAAGCGGTAACACATTATACAAATATAAGGACCTTGCGTGGCCAAGATGGTTTGCAATCTGCAGTTTGTGTTGAAGGGAGGGGGGGGGGGGTTGAGAGGGATGGGAGGAAGAGAGGAGAGGAGAGGAGAGGAGAGGGATGGGAGAAAGAGGGGAGGAAGAGGGGAGGAAGAGGGGAGGAAGAGGGGAGGAAGAGAGGAGAGGAGAGGAGAGGAGAGAGAGAAGAGAAGAGAAGAGAGAGAGAGAAGAGAAGAGAAGAGAAGAGAAGAGAAGAGAAGAGAAGAGAAGAGAAGAGAAGAGAAGAGAAGAGGAGAGGAGAGGAGAAGAGAGGAGAGGAGAAGAGAGGAGAAGTGAGGTGAGGTGAGGTGAGGTGAGGGTGAGGGGAAGGGAAGGTGAGGAAGACAGGAGAGGAAAAGGGAGGGAGAGGAAAAGGAGAAGGGGGGAGTGTCGGTTTAGGGGAAACGTGAGAAGGCGAAGGGGAAAGAAACAGGTGAAAGGGAGGAGAAAGGACGGGGCATGGGGAGGGAGAAAGAGTGAAAGGTGAGTGAAGAGACAGAGCAGAGTATGGTAAAGAAAGAGAGAGAGAGAGAGAGAAGAGAGGAGAGAGAGAGAGAGAGAGAGAGAGAGAGAGAGAGAGAGAGAGAGAGAGAGAGAGAGAGAGAGAGAGAGATGAGAGAGAGAGAGAGAGAGAGAGAGAGAGAGAGAGAGAGAGAGAGAGAAGAGAGAGAGAGAGAGAGAGAGAGAGAGAGAGAGAGAGAGAGAGAGAGAGAGAGAGAGAGAGAGAGAGAGAGAGAGAGAGAGAGAGAGAGAGAGAGAGAGAGAGAGAAGAGAGAGAGAGAGAGAGAGAGAGAGAGAGAGAGAGAGAGAGAGAGAGAGAGAGAGAGAGAGAGAGAGAGAGAGAGAGAGAGAGAGAGAGAGAGAGAGAGAGAGAGAGAGAGAGAGAGAGAGATTGATTAATGATTAGGATGATGATCATGAAAATAATTATTGTAATATTGATGTATATGATGATACTTGCAATCATGATTATGTTAATAGTTATCATGGCAATCATTCCCTTAAAAATAATAACCATAACAATAATAAAAAAACAGTTAAAATGAAAATAAGAATAATACTGACATTGCTCATAATAACAATAATAAAATATATTGGCAATAATAATACCGATAAGGTCATCAATAAAAAAAATAAATTAGATAATGATTTCCACAACGCCAATATGGATAATGATAATGTCAGTTGCATGCAATCAAATGACCTTGTTAGTGACCAATGGGTAATAGAGGGCGAGACGGAAACTCAAGATCACGCTAATGTGTGCATTCCGGAAGTGAGTGTGAAATGTCAAGGGTACTGGTGGCACTTCCCCCTCCCTCCCCCTTCCCCCCATCTGTCCCCCCCTGGCACTGTTGCTATGTGATATTTACTTCACTTTTGTGTGTGTGTGTGTGTGTGTGTGTGTATGTGTGTGTGTGTGTGTGTGTGTGTGTGTGTGTGTGTGCGCGCGTGTGTTTGTGTATGTGTGTGTTGGTGTATATGAGTGTCTGTTTGTCTCCCTGTCTGTCTGGCTGTCCCTCTCTGTCTCTCTGTCTCTGCCTGTCTGTCTGTCTCTGTCTGTCTCTGTCTGTCTCTGTCTCTGTCTCTGTCTCTGTCTCTGTCTCTGTCTCTGTCTCTGTCTCTGTCTCTGTATCTCTCTCTCTCTCTCTCTCTCTCTCTCTCTCTCTCTCTCTCTCTCTCTCTCTCTCTCTCTCTCTCTCTCTCTCTCTCTCTCTCTCTCTCTCTCCCTCCACCCTGAAGGAAAAGTTTAGTGTCAGAGAAGCGAAAAATGTTTAGAAAAACATAAAGTCCGTCTGTCTTTAATGCCAATGTAATTTTTCATCCCACCCCGCCTGTATTTTTCTCGCTTAAAACTCCAAATGTATACTTTTGAAACATATACATACTATTCGAATATGGTTTTATTATTTTTTTTATTTATATTTATTTTATGAAACACCACTCAAAGATCTATCGCGAAAAAAGTATAAGATCAAAACTATTACTTATATAAATGAGGAAAATATGAAAAAAAACGTTTATTATGGCATTGGATGGTGGAGGAAAGTCGGAAAGGGGGAGGGGGAGGGGGGGAGGGGAGAGGTATGAAGAAGATGAGTATGGTTGAGGAGGACGAGATGAGGGGGAGGGGGGAGGGGAGGGGGAGGTGATATGGTCGTAGCTATGGGCATAAGGAAGTCTCTGTATGTTCTTCTTAGTGCACTGCTTGTTCTCCGTTTCCCGTTGGGTTCTTCATGATGATGTGATGATGACGGTGATCTACTCGGATAGTCAATTGTCGGGGCTTGGAGGAGTAAATCTGATAGATAAATCATGTAATGTTGATGAATAAACAATAGATATAGATACAGACATACATACAAGCATACACACACACACACACACACACACACACACACACACACACACACACACACACACACACACACACACACACACACACACACACACACACACACACACACACACACACACGCGCGCTCCCGCATACACTTACATACATATACATGTACATGTTTGTTTACATGTAATGTTGATGAATAAACAATAGATATAGATACAGACATACATACAAGCATACACACACACACACACACACACACACACACACACACACACACACACACACGCACACACACACAAACACACACACGCGCTCCCGCATACACTTACATACATATACATGTACATGTTTGTGCGTATGTAAATATAATCTATCTAAGTTGTGTTTGCGTCTTCAGTGACACCTCCGGGAGTGATTAGCTAATGCATCTGTAACAGACAGAGCCATGAGTGAATCTTAAATGCTATTCTTAGAACTGACTAGTATTTTGCTTTTTCCTTCTTTCGCTGTCGTTTCTCTTATTTCTCTCGCTTTTCCATCTATTTCTGTTTCCTTTCTCTCGCCTTTTTGTTTTCTCTAATTTTGACAATTTTTTTCTTTCTAACCATATACTTCTTCTTCTCCTCCTCCGTCTCCTTCTTTTTATTCCTTCTTCTTCTCATTCGCCTACTTCTTTTCCTTTTCCTTCTTCTTCTTCGTCTACTTCTTTTTCTCATTCCTCCTCCTCCTCTTTCATTTCTTCCTTTTCTTCCTCCTACTCCTTTCTTCTTCTTCTTCTACTTCTTCTTCCCCTCCTTTCCCTGTCTCCTCCTCTTCGTTTTTTCTTCTTCCTCCTCCTCCACTTCCTCCCCCTCCTCTTGCTCTTCCTTCTCCCCCTCTTCTCTTCTTCTTTCCCTGCTACTCTTCTCTCGTGTCCATTTTTTCATCGCAACAAAAACATTCTTTTGATTGATTTTTTAAAAACAAAATCGCTAAACTTGTTTATCAGGAAGTTATTGTTCTGAAAATTCGAAAAAAAAACTTCCAAACTCAATTATTGTTGTCGACATAAAATCAGAAATATATTGGAAAGCCACGTGATCATTATGATCTCAACATTTTCCTGGTAAAGCTCGAATTACAAAACTGTATCTGACGGATTTCCAAGATTGCGCATGACTAGTAATTTATATCTATATTGCTTTTTTATATATTTTCATTTGCACTCAATCTGATACGATCACGATCAACAGGTTTCTAGCACCGTCATTGGACAGTGATTTAACATGTAACATGACCCTGTCTGACCTTCTCAAGACCTTCACCTCTCTCTGCATGATACATAATGGTATTTTGGTTGAAGGCTTAGCTTACTTACTGCAGGGACTGTTGCATAAGGCATGTTGCAAACTCATTCACTCTAGGAAATGCTGATGTGTTTTAGAATGAATCCTTGCATCATCCACGACCATGAACTCGCGGCAACTGTGCACGATTGGAAGCAACACAGGAGGGGTTTAGAATGAATCGCTACTTGATGATTTGCAACGAATATAGATAAAGAAAATAAAAATAAAGATAAGAAAAAGAAGTAGAAGTAGAAGTAGAAGAAGAAGAAGAAAAAGAAAAAGAAAAAGAAAAAGAAAAAGAAGAAGAAGAAGAAGAAGAAGAAGAAGAAGAAGAAGAAGAAGAAGAAGAAGAAGAAGAAGAAAGAAAGAAAAATAAGAAGAGGAAGAATTTAAAAAAGTAAATGGAGAAGAGGATCAAACAACAAACAAATAGAAAACAAATCAGAAAAAAAGGAAACAAGATCCGCGTCACTTCCACGGCCGTTACAAGCGACTTTTCTAAAATAAAATGAAAAAAATAAAAAATGAAATAAAAAAGAGAGAAAAAATAGTTGCTTATCCTTAGTTAACTGAAGCCAAAACGGAAGGATGTCGACAGCAACAGCGGATAAAAAAGGATCAGTGATAGAGGCGATGGAGCGGAAAGAGTGCCAACCGCTCACAGTGACAATAACACGCGCAGAAGTAATACTAACAGTGTGAGTACCAATAGCGTAGAGTCACAATTGCAAAAGGGACAGTAGCCAGTCTTGCAACTGCAACGGTGAGAACATCGGCGGCAGTAACGACGGAGATATTTGCAACAACAACAGTGCCTGAAACGGTAAAGCTGCAGCGAAAGTATCAACAACAGAAAAGGAAAATATCAACACTGATAACAAAGTATCATCATAAACAACAGTAATAAAAGTAATGGACATAGCAACAACAACAATACAACACCAACGACATCGGCGTTAAGTGAAGTAGCATAAATACCAACAGTGACGATAAACTACCCAAATCGACAGTGAATATAACGGCAATAACACCGCCCAGCGACTCAGAAAAGATACCCAGTATTGGTATGGCGCAGATGGTATCATGGTCGAGTGCGGGCGTGCGGTAGGACACTCAGATACCCTGTGGTTCCTGAGGTAACTTCTGAGAGCGATCCACCCGCACGTGCCTGCCTGCCTGGGGCTGTGCATGAATATAGTTTCGTTGGGTTTTCCGTCATGCAGAGAACGAGACATTGGCTGTGCTGCATGTGTGTATGTGAATGTGTTTATTATTACTGTTGCTGTTGTTATTGTTGTTATCGTTATTTTTATTCTTATTTTTTATTATCATTATCATTATTCATTATTATTATTACCATCATTATCATCATCGTCATTATCCCGTCGTCATCGTCATCATCATTATAAACATTATTATTATCATTGCCATTATTGTTATTATTATTATTGTTATTGTTATTATTATTATTGTTATTGTTATTATTATTACTATTATTATTCTCATTATCATTATCACTATCATTACTATTATCATTATCACTTTTATTATCATTATCATTATCATTATTATTATTATTGTTATTATTAATGTTATCATCATCATGAGTTTATATATGAATCATTGAGTGATTTTTCTCTAAAATCTCGAGGAAAGATATGGATTAAAAAAAAAAAAAGGATGCGATGTCATGCCGTGGCTTATACGTCACGAGGCGGCAAATGGGGGGGGGTGATGCAACAGTCTCAGGAACGTCTCGTTGATCATGCACACACACTCTCTCGAGGTGTTGAACTCAGACTTGCATAACCTTTTGAACATTTTCCTTTCTCGGTGAAAATCTGAAGTGAATCAAAACAAACACCATTGGAACATCACAACATAGATAAGAGTGAAACGTCAGCATATGCGGAAGTGTGACGAAGTGGACATCTAGAGTGACATCCATACATGACGGAGATTAGAGATGACAGTGGATTCAAAGGTGGCCTGGCGGTGAGCGTGACTGTCATACTTGTCACACCAGTCGGCAGGCCCGTGACGCTACCAATAAGTCCTGGGATTAGTTGGGTCTTATGTGATGATGCCGCCCACACGTCTCGCACGCCCGCGGGGGAGTTGGGAGAAGGGAGGAAAGGAAGGGGAAGGGGAAGGAGGAGGGGAAGGTGGAGGAGGAGGGGAAGGGGAAGGAAAAGGAGAGAAGGGGAGAAGGAGAGAAGGAGAGAAGGGGAAGGTGGAGGAGGAGGGGAAGGGGAAGGGGGGAGGAGGGGAGGGGAAGGGGAAGGGGAAGGAGAGAAGGGGAAGGGGGAGGGGAAGGGGAAGGAGAAGGAGAAGGAGAAGAGAGGAGAAGGAGAAGGAGAAGGAGAAGGAGAAGGAGAAGGAGAAGGAGAAGGAGAAGGAGAAGGAGAAGGAGAAGGAGAGAAGGGGAAGGAGACGGGGAGGGGAACAGGATGGGAAGGAGAGAGAGAATAGAAAAATCAGAGAATAATCTAGAATAATCGGTTTGTGTGCGAGTTTTTACGTTCACCTCTTGTTTTTTTTCCAGTTTTTTTTTCAGTCAGTCAATCAGTATAGTAAATTAATGTAACAGTCCTTAACTTAATACTTTACGTTGCAATTCGCGAGCAGCTGATATCACGGCGCGCCCTTTTATCCTAACCTATCAATCAACTAGTCAGAAAGTAGAACACATCAGAGTAATCAGCAGCTAGAGTAATTAAAATCCTTAAACCAGCCCAGGCACTCTGTCACCGTGCCTCTCCGTCTCGTTAAATCAGTCAGTCAGCGCTCAGCATCAAAGTACGCGTAGAGAACTAATTAGACAGTCTATGAATCCAGTGCCAAACCGAGAAAACCCAATCCACTGGCAAACAGTCATTATACCCAGTCATTCCTTCGAGCGGGAGGAACGAGAGAGGTAACGAATCCGGTAGAAGCCGCGCCGGGGACCTTTGAGAATTATTCACCAGTCCCACCCGCATATTGATGACTAAGCTGCGTAGGTTTGAGTAAAGTTGGCGTTCGGGAGAAAGGCGTAGAGGGGCGTTGTGGCGTTTGGCGGAGAGGAGGGAGGGGGAGGGTGACAGGGGGAGAGGGATACAGGGAGGGGGAGAGACAGGGGGAGAGGGATACGGAGAAGGGGGAGAGACAGGGAGAGAGGGAAATAGGGAAGGAGGGAAGGGGACAGAGAGGAAGGGAGGGAAATAGGGAGGGAGGGAGGGAAACAGGGAAGAAGAAATGGAGACAGGGAGGGAGGGAGGGAAACCGGGAGGGAAGGGGGGGAACAGGGAGGGAGGGAGGGAGGGGGAGAGAAGAGGGGAAGGTATAAGAAAAGGAGTTAGGGAGAGGGAGAAGGGGAGAAAGTGGAATGAGGGAAGAGAAAGGGAACGGAGAGAGAAGGAGGGGCAGGAAGGGAGAGGGGAGAGAGAGAGAGAGAGAGAGAGAGAGAGAGAGAGAGAGAGAGAGAGAGAGAGAGAGAGAGAGAGAGAGAGAGAGAGAGAGAGAGAGAGAGAGAGAAGAGAGAGAGAGAGAGAGAGAGAGAGAGAGAGAGAGAGAGAGAGAGAGAGAGAGAGAGAGAGAGAGAGAGAGAGAGAGAGAGAGGGAGAGAGGGAGAGACTGAAGGAGGAAGGAGGGTGAGGGATGGAGGGAAGGAGAGAAAGAGCGAAGAAAGAAGGGAGGGGGGAAGGGAGGGGGGAATGGAGGAAAGAGAGAGAGAGAGAGAGAGAGAGAGAGAGAGAGAGAGAGAGAGAGAGAGAGAGAGAGAGAGAGAGGAGAGAGAGAGAGAGAGAGAGACTGAATAGCGAAAGAGAGAGAGAGAGAGAGAGGAGGAAGAGAGAGAGAGAGAGAGAAGAGAGAGAGAGAGAGAGAGAGAGAGAGAGTGAGAGAAAGAGAGAGAGAGAGAGAGAGAGAGAGAGAGAGAGAGAGAGAGAGAGAGAGATAGAGAGAGAGAGAGAGAGAGAGAGAGAGAGAGAGAGAAAGAGAGAGAGAGAGACTGAGAGCGAAAGAGAGAGAGAGAGCTTTTAGTCAATGTAATATCTCTGTTCATAGTGTGTCATTCCAACTGAAAATTCGGCAACTATTATAATAAAATGGAAACCGAATACCTTTGTCTAAATTTCTCCTAAAAAGAAGCCTCTGGCACTTTTTAACCTAGATTTCTTTGCTTAGAGCACTCCATCAGTGAAGAATCCTTGTGAAAAATGTAATTGTAACTGGCAGTTAAAATAAACTTGGTAGCAATGTTGCTGCCGGCTCTGCAAGATGCAAAGTAAACGACATCAGCGTGTGAGAGAGAGAGGACAGCTGTGTGTGTGTGTGTGTGTGTGTGTGTGTGTGTGTGTGTGTGTGTGTGTGTGTGTGTGTGTGTGTGTGTGTGTGTGTGTGTGTGTGTGGGTGCGTGCGTTTGTGTGATTATGTGTGCACGCTTGCGAACTTGCGCTTGTGTAATTCATTATTCGTATTACATTTTTCATATAATTAACACAAAGAGAATTTGATGAAATAATATTACAGAATTCAGAGTGTTTAGATATTATCTTAGGCTTTTCCGTTTCATAAAAAACTACAAGATTGTTGTTGTTTCCATTTGCATATGAAATGAGGATTGCTATGCAGGCAATTGTGGGCTTGCACTCTCCTCGTGATCACAAGCGTCACAGGTAAATTTCCACGAAATGAATTTCACGCAGTACACTAACTCCCAAAAATCCAATTATGTCACTTTTTATTCCTGTCCCCTTGCACCCCCGCCCCCTCCACCCACCCACCAACCACTGTGTCCCCCTCCCCGCTTCCCCCTCTCCAATTCCCATCCACACGCTTCCCTCATTGTCTTCCCTCTCGTCCTCTCCTCCCAGTTCCTATCCTCTTCCCTTTCCCCCTTCCTCATTTCACACCCCTTTCCCTTCTCCTCTTCTCCTCTCTCCTTTTGCCCCAGTTCCCATCTTCCTCCTTTTCCCCATTGCCCATTTCATCTCTCTCCCTTCCCTTAGTTTCCCCCTTCCTCATTTCCCCTCCCCTCCCCTTCCCCCCTTCAACTACCTTGTCCACCCAAGCCTACCCGACCCCCTCTGCCCCCACCTCATCTCCCAACAAAGCCCCAACAAACCTTCCCATCCACACAGCCGCCCACCATGCCACCCATCCACACGCCCACCTCCCACCCACCCTGCCACCCATCCACACGCCCACCACAACCTCCTGAACTGGGAATGAGATTACAACTCTTTTCATTTCCGAGTCCTTCTCTTCCACGCACGTTCTCTTTCGACATCACTTTCTAATATTCGTTTTTCTTCTCTCGCAGGTGATGATGATGATGATGGTTGTGGCGACGTAGCGACGAGTCTCTCTCTCTCTTACATCTCTTCATGGTTGTGATAGTCAGCGCTCGATCCGAGAAGGAACCACGCCTCCGCCCAGCATCCCAAGAAGACCTTATTTTGATATAGGCGTTAGCGAGTCGTAGAGAAAACTGCCCTGTTTATCCCCCTTTGTTGGCTCCTCTTCTTACTCGTCTACTTCTTCGACTTCTTCGATTTTTTGTAGCGTGTCTATAAAATATAAATATATATGTGTGTGTGGGTGTGTGTAAAATATAATAAGGATTACCGTAGCTACTGAAGTCAAATACTATTTCGAATTTGCTTTTGGAAAAAAAAAGAAACTTTCTCTATATAATCCTTTCCTTTTGGGTTCCGATAGTTTTCTCTTTTTTGGATGTATACGATTTGATTCTCTTTGGTAGGTTAGCCGATCAATGATAACACAACACGAATCCAGCGCGCGCGCAGATTCAAACGTCGTCACTTTGTCACAACAACAAGGCCAGTGACGAGCGTGGTATAGTGAGTGTGAGGTGGATTGAAAGAAGGAAAAAGAAAACAAAAAAAGATCATTAAAAAGCTCCCGTCCATTAGAAGTTGCGGCCCAAGTGCGTGCGCGAGGAGGGACTTCGGCGCCGCTTACGGTTCAGTGTCGATGCTTCGGTCGAGCGGCGAGTCGGTTCCGAGCGAGTGATCGCATGAGTGTGCATGGTAGCGCGCCTCGAGGAAGAGCTCGGTGCATGAGAGCAGAGCGGGCGCCAGTGTCGAGGGCGTGCGGGCGCGCGGCGTAGCGACGACCATGACGACTCTGTGCAGCACCCCGGAATCCCTCCCCTCCCCCCGGGCGGCCGACGCGGCCCCCCCGGGGTTCCAGGCGCCCTCTGACCCCTCGCCGCGCCCCTACGATGCGCCCGGCTTCCCCAGCGGCGCTCCGGCGCCCTCCTACTCGGCGCGCTCGGACGCCGACTACGAGGTGCCCTTCTTCACCGTGGCGCACTACCGCACGCCCACCGCGCCCACCACCTATGAGTATGCCGCCACGCATACGGGCTTCCCGGAGGGCGCGGGCGAGGCGCTCTACAACGGCGGCCTCGACACGGAGGCGATGTCGCCCGTCGAGCTGGCCTTCGGCGGCAGCGCGGGGGAGTCAGGCCGCTGGTGGCCGCGCGACGGCCCCGAGGCGCCCATCGAGCCCACACCGCCCACACAACCCGCGCGGTCCCCAGTGGGCCCCGCCCCTCTCCACGGCCGTTCGGAGCCCGACTGCGCCCTGCCCGCCCACCCACCCGGCGCCTTCATCCGGCGCGTCTACGGCAGCCACGACCGCACGCCCGTGGGCTGCCTGCACGCCGCCGCAGGCACGGCGCCGCGGGGGCAAAAGCCACCCACCCCGGGGGCGAAGCCAGCCCCACCGGAGACGCCCCCGCGGCCTTCGCGGCCCGCGCGCTCCCACGACGAGACGCCCGTCAGGGGCTCCGTGGACTTCCTGCTGGATCAGCCCTCGCGCACCCCCAGCAGGAGCAGGAGCGGCTCCAGACGCCGCGCCTCGAGCCCGGGCCGGAGGACCACCCCCACTACACCCACCTCGTCCTTCCCCCCCGAGATGAGCCAGTCCACGCCCCTCATCCCCAGGGACACCGGGCAGGGCGCGGGCGACGGCGTCACCGGCGCGGCCCAGGCGCAGGACGCCGCGACGCGCCAGACGTCCCTCACGGGCTCGGGAGGGCGCGGCGGCGGCGGGAGGGAGGAGCCGGCAACCAGCCTGAGCGGGGCGCCCATGGACGGCAGCGGCGTGTACGAGGACGCGGGCGTGAGCGACGCGGCCGACCGCCTCGAGTCCGCCCTCCACTCCAGCTCGTCCTCGGAGGTGATGGTGACGCCGCGGACGCCCCGGACGCCGCGCACCTCCAGAAGCAAGTCCAGGTGAGTCATGCTGTCTGCCGGCACGCGGCGGACACCTCACGGGAGGGATTTGCATGATTACCTTGCGAGGAAGATAAGTACTGTACGTACGTGCGTGTGATATAGATCCTGCTATTTTCTTAGTAATTGCTTTATTGCTGTTGAAATATGGCCTTCCGCCTGTCTCCTTTTCCCAGAACAGTCCTGTAACTACATTAATTTTCTGGTATGCTGAGTGCCGTTCACAATGTTATCTTTACCTGTCCCTTACACATCCTCCTCCCGGCTTAGAGCTGATAATTTAACCTTATCTTATCACAACTGTAAGAATAATATTATGTATGTCGCAGTAAGATGAGAGATTTTAAGTTTGATAATCTGAAGGTTACATTTTTTTTACTAAGCTTTGTCTTCATTCAACAACCGAGGTGTGTTTTGTCATGTGTGTGTGTGTGTGTGTGTGTGTGTGTGTGTGTGTGTGTGTGTGTGTGTGTGTGTGTGTGTGTGTGTGTGTGTGTGTGTGTGTGTGTGTGTCTGTCAGCCTATGCATTTTTATGTTTATGTATCTACTATGTATTTGTATTCGACTTAGTATTCATGTATATGTGTGTTAAAGTATGTGCATGCTATATACCTACATGTTTATGAATGTGCACACGTGTGACTGCTCGAGCTCACGCAGTCACGGATAAAAGCAGGCTATTTTCCTCCGCTCTCTGCCCTCACCTGCTCCTCTCATTCCCTGACTTGATTCAAACACCAGCTACTTCAATCACCCCCTTTTGTCATGCTGGAAGAGAAAGGAGACGAAAGAAGAGGAAAAGAGTAAATAAAAAAAGGGGTTTTAGGGCCAATATTTCCTCTCTCTCTTTCTTCCTCTTCCCTCTCTTCTTTTTTTATCTCTACTGTCCCTCTCTCTCTCATTTTTTTTCTTTCTGTTTTCGCTTTTAAGAAGTCTGACGGGTTGCCTTTTATGATTTATCGACCTGTTCCTATTTTTTCCTCCCTCTGAGATACGTCTTTCAGATTCCATTTGCTTTGTACTTTTTTTTTTCTTTTCTTTCTTTAATCTCATTTTCTCTAATGCACTTTAGTCTTTCCTGCTAAAATTCGCCTGTCGTCGCGTTCATGGATGTTCATCTCTTTTGATGTTTATTCCGTTTGTTATTTCTGTGTTCTGTCTATCTTTTCGTCAGGTTTCCCCTTTCTTCCTCTCCGTCGCTTTCTCTTCCTCTCCCACCCCTTTTCTTCCATTTTCCCTTCCGCCCTTCTCTTCCCCTTTTCTCCCATTTTCTTCCTTTCTCTTCTTTTCCATCCTTTCCCTTTGCTTTAACTCTACCCATCCCTTCCCTTCGCTAACATTTCACTTCATTTTCATTTCATTCATATCATTTCATTTCCTCTGCCTCCCCTCCCCTCTCCTTCCCTCCCCCTCCCTTCCCTTCCCTTCCCTTCCCTTCCCTTCCCTTCCCTTCCCTTTCCCTTCCCTTCCCTTCCCTTTTCTTATAGTTTTCTCTTCTATTTGCATCCCCTTTCCAAATCTAAGGGTTATTCTCTCTCTTTTTGTTTTCCTCTTCCTTTGTTCGTTTTCCCTCCCCCCCCCCATTCCTCCCCTCCCTCTCCCCCATCCCTCCATCCTCTTCCTTTAATCTTCCCTCTTATCTCCCCCTCCTTTCTCTTCCCTCTCCCCCAGCCCCCAATCACTCCTTCCCCAAAAATGATAAGAAAAATGAAAATAAGAAAACAAAGAACGAAAAACAAGGAAAAAAAACCCTCACCTTTCCCTCTTGTCTCTCTTCCCTCGTCCTCCAGGGAGCCGTCCTTCTGCCTCGAGCTGGAGGACGACGAGTACCCCCGCACGGAGGCCGAGTACATGTCGCTCCTCAACGCCAAGATCGCCGAGGCCCACGAGCGGCAGCTGCTCCCGCTCAAGGAGGACCTCGCCGACTGGCTCTCCAAACTACTCGGTGAGTACTGGGAGATTTTGGTGAAACTTTACGTACATATTCAAGCATTTAATCATGTTATGTGGTATTGGTATTAATATTGTCATGATTGTTATTATTATTATTATTATTATTATTATTATTATTATTATTATTATTATTATTATCATCATCATCATTATCATTATCATTATCATTATCATTATCTTTATCATTATCATCATCATCATCATCATCATCATCATCATCATCATCATCATCATCATCATCATCATCATCATCATCATCATCATCATCACATCACCATCACCATCACCATCATTATTATTAGTAGTAGTTGTCTATTTGCTTCGTCCATCCGTCATGCTTATAATCTACGCCTGCTGGGATGCATTTAACTACGTATTTGAAATCTCTTCTGCCTGGGATCATATTCCATGTGACGACGGACTTAAAGACAATTCATTTAGGTGGAAATTGGGTAATAATTGGCAGCATAAATATCAAAGAATCTCGGACACACACATACACGCGCGCGCTTATAGGAAATGCACACTGTACACTTAATCCTTGAAAGCAACATTTTCGCAATCCTGTGCAAGCCGAGTGGTTGCTTGACTCTGAGGATCAACACACAGCATTGAAAGTGTCTCTGAAATGACGCCAAATTTTATTTTTTATTTTATTTTTTAATTTTTTTTTTCTAACTTTTCATTTATTTTAGCCGTTTTTTTTTTTTTGTCTTTGACTTTTTATTTATATTCAGGAGTGTTTGTTTTTCATTTTTGCTTTCTATGTGTTTGATTGCTTTTCTGTTTTTGTTCCTTTTGACTCTCTCTCTCTCTCTCTCTCTCTCTCTCTCTCTCTCTCTCTCTCTCTCCTCTCTCTCTCTCTCTCTCTCTCTCTCTCTCTCTCTCTCTCTCTCTCTCTGCCTATCTGTCTCTCTCTCTCTCTCTCTCTCTCTCTCTCTCTCTCTCTCTCTCTCTCTCTCTCTCTCTCTCTCTCTCTCTCTCTCTCTTCTCTCTCTCTCTCTCTCTCTCTCTCTCTCTCTCTCTCTCTCTCTCTCTCTCTCTCTCTCTCTCTCTCTCTCTCTCTCTCTCGCTCTCGCTCTCGCTCTCTCTCTCGCTCTCGCTCTCGCTCTCGCTCTCTCTCTCTCTCTCTCTCTCTCTCTCTCTCTCTCTCTCTCTCTCTCTCTCTCTCTCTCTCTCTCTCTCTCTCTTCTCCTTCCTCTTCTTCTGTCTCTTCCTCTTCCTCCTCCTTCTCTTCCTCTTTCTCTTTTTCATTTTCCCATTTCTTCCTACGCTAGCTCTTTCCTCTCCATCTCTCTTTCACGCTGCCTTTTCGTGTATGTAACTCCCCTCCTTCCCCCTCCCCTCCTCTCCCCCTCCCTCCCTAACAGCTTTCAATAGGTCGCTTCTTTAGAGACAAGTTCCTGCCTATGTTCGTCCCTCAAATTGCTTGCCTGCCTGCCAGCGTGCTTGCCTGAGGTACCTTCCACCCGACTGCAGGATAATGACCCTTATTAAACCCAACCGTAGAGTCCAAAATTGACTTACTTCCAGGCAACCTTTCCACTTCCCCCTCTGTCTCTCTCTCTCGTCTCTCTACCCCCCCCCCTCCCCCTCCCCCTTAGCTCTTACCCCTTACTATTTCCATGTCCTTCCTCCCTCATCCGCTCTCCTCTCCGTCTCCTTCCCTCTTCTCCTTCCTCCCTCATCCCCTCTCCTTCCCTCTTCTCCTTCCTCCCTCATCCCCTCTCCTCTCCGTCTCCTTCCCTCTTCTCCTTCCTCCCTCATCCCCTCTCCTCTCCGTCTCCTTCCCTCCTCTCCTTCTTCCCTATCCCTTTTCGTTTCCGTCTCTTATGCTTCTCCCTTCTTCCTCATCCCCTCATTCTCCTTCCCTCCTCTCCTTCTCCCCTATCTCCTCTCGTCTCCGTCTCCTCTCCTCCCTTCTCCCTTCTCCTCTCCGTCTCCTACCTTCCTCTCCTCCTTCCTTTGCTTCCTTCTTTTCCCACTCCCTTATCCCCCTCCTCCCCGTCTCCCCTTCCCCCTCCCCTGCCCTCCCCTCCCCCTCCCCCATGCCTCATAAACTCCAAACTTACCAGACTTTAAATGACAAGATCCGAATCATAGTCCAGTAGAGGGGGAGGGGGGGAGGGGGGAGAAGAGTAGGGGGGGATGGAGGAAACGGAAGGGGGGTAGGGGAGGGAGGAACGGGGAAGGTGTGGGTGGGGGAGAGGGGAAGAGGGAAGGGGGGGATGGTGGGGAGGGAAGGAGTAGGGGGAGGGATTGTAGCAGGGTAAGGGGAGTAGGGGAGGGGAGGGAGGAACGGGTGGGGGGAGGGAGGAACGGGGAAGGTGTAGGTGGGGGATAGGGGAAGACGGGAAGAGGGAACGGGGGTGGAGAGTGGCGGAGGGGAAGGGGGAAGGGAGGAAGGGGGGGAAGGGGGGGAGGGGAGGAGCAAAAGGGAGACTAGATGGTGGAAAGGCAGAATATTTTCGTATTAACAGAGACATCTTTACGTCTAAATTCTTTCCGCTAAGAATTTCATTTAACTATTTATTTATTTACTTGTTTGTTTTTAGGTTCTCATTTCCGGTTGATGTTTTGAGGATTCACGACTTTTTTATGTTATATTTATGTTTTTATTTTTCTTTTTTTTTTGTTGTCAGTATTTTTATATCGATTCGAAATCTATTCTTTGGCAAATAATTAAAATGTTATTTGTGCGACGTTCGTCCGTTTTCCTAATTTAATCGTTTATCCAGTTACTTGTTTTTCTTCCATTTCCTCCCGTCTGCTCTCTTTTAGTTTGCTGTAGTGCCTATTTTTTTCTTTCTTTTTTTATATTTTTTTTTTCTTTTTCTTTCACTTCCGTTCTCTTCACGTCTCGCTTGTTCTATTCTCTTTGCTTGTCACCTTTCTCTGTGCCACTCTGTATTTTTTCTTTCTCTCTCTCTATCTCACTCTTTTCTTTCTTTCTTTTTCGGATTTTTCATTGTGCTGTCTTTTTCAGTCTTCGTTAACAGGATTTTTTTTCTCCCTTTTACTTCTGTTTCTGTTTCTCTCTCTCTAAAAAAAAAATATTCCGTTCTTCCTACTGATGCTATTCCTCGTCCTTCCTCTTTTTCTCTTCCTTAGTCTCTTTCCTCTCCCCTTTTTTCTTCCCCTCCTTCCATCTTCCTCTTCCTTTTACATCTCCTCTACCTCCTTCTACTCCTTCTCGTCCTCGTTCTCCTATTTCTCCTCCTACTATTCCTCCTCCTCCTCTTCTTCCTCCTCCTCCTCCTCCTCCTCCTCCTCCTCCTCCTCCCCCTCCTCCTCCTCCTCCTCCTCCTCCTCCTCCTCCTCCTCCTCCTCCTGCTCCTCCTCCTCTCATTCCCCTCCTCCTTCTCCCTCCTTTACCTTCCTTCCTCTCTCCTTCCCCCTCTCACCTTCTCCCTTCCTCCTATTCTTCCCTTTCTCATTCTCCCTCCCTATCGAGCCTCATTATTTCCCGCTGCATTACCCTTTTTTTCTCAGTCTTTCTCATTTCTCCCATCGTTCGGTCGCGGGCGGCTTGAGAACGTTACAGAATGCAGACGAAAAGAAAAGAAAAATGTGCATTATTGTTGTCATCATTTTCATCTTTGTTTACATTTTGTCTCATTTCTTGGTGTTGGTATGGGCATGGTATTTTGGGTCTTATGAGATACTGTGATAAGGGCGGAGATCTTTCGGAACCTTGAAGGAAACAAAAGGTTTGTGGCGCGTGGCGTTTATACACTCAAGAGTGAATGAACTATCCTTGATGGCAGGCAGACAGGCAGACAGGCAGGCAGGCAGACAGGCGGGCAGGCAGGCAGACAGGCAGGCAGGCAGACAGGCAGGGAGGCAGGCAGGCAGACAGGCAGACAGGCAGGCAGGCAGATAGGCAGACAGGCAGGGAGACAGGCAGGCAGGCAGGCAGGCAGGGAGGCAGGCAGGCAGGCAGGCAGGCAGGCAGGCAGGCAGACAGACAGACAGACAGACAGACAGACAGACAGGCAGACAGACAGACAGACAGACAGGCAGGCAGGCAGGCAGACAGATGGACAGACAGACAGGTAGACAGAAACAGACAGGCAGGGAGACAGGCAGGCAGGCAGGCAGGCAGGGAGGCAGGCAGGCAGGCAGGCAGGCAGGCAGGCAGGCAGGCAGGCAGACAGACAGACAGGCAGACAAGCAGACCGACAACCAGACAGACAGGCAGACAAGCAGACCGACAACCAGACAGACAGACAGACAGGCAGGCATACAAGCATAAGAGTAGCCAACAAGCAAAACGGGAATCACAGAATAAAGCATACAGTCGGCCAGGCAGGCAGGTAGACAGAAAAGACAGACATGCAATGCAGAGGCCAACAGAAAGCAGGCAAACAGCCAGAGGAATAATCAATATAATAATCAATAAGATTTTTTTTATTTATCAAATATATATATAATGAATTGTCAGTAATTATAAAGGAGGTGAAAGGGATTTGCGAATTAATTAATTGGGATATCAGGGTTTCAAAATATAATTGAACCGCTAAATTAAGTATGGATATAAATGAAAGGGAATTAATCAAGTTAGAAATCAGATGTATAGCGTATTAGATATGCAGATTAAAGGCTTAATCAATTATTGAACTGTTTATGCATGAAAGGGAAAATACAAGAGTTAACAAAGGGAAATTAGGAATTAAAAAAAAAATCGAATTTGTAAACTTTATATAACAAAGAATTAATAATTTAATCAAACACTGAACGAAGAACAGGAAGTGGGGCATCACACTAATGAAAAGTCATTGCTTAGTGTTAATGGCTATTAGAAAATAACATAATTACCGGATTTAGGAATAATGAATTTTAACTCATGTTCCTTCATTATTTTTTTTATTATTATTATTTTTTTTTTTTCATGTAGAGGGAATGCGATCATTGTGAGAAAAAAATGGGTTTCGTTTAGTTTTCATGAAATTAAGTGATGAAATAAATTGCCTTTCATAGAGTAAAAAAAAA